TTATTGTTTAATGTTATATGGCCCCGGTTCTGCACAGTATATACGTGACTGTACGAAAATGAAAATGGAAAATAAAAACACAATTGAATAGTTAAAAAAAAAAGAAAAAAGACCTGGCTATTCTGGCAGGCCCCGGGGTGTTAAACTCACGATTGAGTTCCAGCCCCGATTAGACTGGGTGTATGTTGTGGTCTTTTTTAACCTATGTTTCTGTGTTTTTAACTTTTCTTTTTTAAATGTATTGTTGTAAGCCGCCCGGAGTCCTTCGGGATAGGGCGGCCTATAAGATCATTAAACATCAAACATCAAACAGGAATGAAATGTGCTAGCATTAACTCAAATGGGCCAAGAGGGGGCAGTCTCCGCTAGCAGACTTGACTCCGGCATTTTATTTATATATATTTGGAGGCAAAACTGAATGCAAGGCTGGTTGCTGAATAGTTGGTAGTCTGAGATTGTTGGTTTGGCCTTTCATTAATTATACGCTAACGCTAAGCACAACAAACACACAGGGTGGTTAATTCCATTTCACTAGGGGGTAAACTGAGGCAGGGGGGCGAAGGCAGTGATGTTATTTGCCCGAAGGCAGAGGAGCAGAGCCAAGAACAGAGAACAAACTAGAGCGAGTTAGTAAATCCTGTCTTTTTATCTCCCCCGCCCGCATTCGGTCAGACTGAGGAAGCCCTCCGCCTACCCATTTGTGCTGGAAGGCTTGACTAGGGGAATGGTTTGAATTAGCTGCAGAAAGGGACATCTAATCCAATATTGCAGTGATTCATCGCAGCTTGTGTTTCTTGGGCTGGGCTTCTGTAGAAGCCACAGATCTGTGCAAACAAGGGCAGCGGGGAGTGTCCCGGCACATCCCATCCTTGACACACGAAGCAGGATGATGGGCTGCAGATTTCCTTTGAGCCTCTGGAGTTTGGGTTCCTGTTTTTGCAAGCTTCCTCAAACGGGACCCTGGTAGATGCAACGAGTTCAACTCCTATAATCCCAGCCCTCATAGCAATCCCAGCAAATAGAGCCGAGGTGGCGCAGTGGTTAGGGTGCAGNATCTATCTATCTATCTATCTATCTATCTATCTATCTATCTATCTATCTATCATCTATCTATCTAATCTATTTATCTGCCTACCTACCTACCTACACACCATGAATACAGAATTTTAGATATCAGATTGTAAACGAGGGAGATGTTTGCTGTGCCCCGCTCTGTCTGTGGGATAACGAAAGAGGAAGGGAGAAAATCTATGCCCAAAATAGTATCCTAGCATTGTTCCAAGCCGAGGGGAGCTTTGTCTGTAATGTTCTAGTGCAGTATTTCTAGCGAAGGGTCGTCTGCGGCTTCCTGTCTTCCCGCCATGGAACCAGATTCCGCTGCTACACTCTCGCCCCCTCTCACCCCTGTGCAGAAACGCCGCTATGAGACGTACGTGAAGCTCCTGGAGGTGAAACTTGGCTGCAGCTCAGATGATCTGGACCAGTGGGAAGTTCGGCTGGCCGCCATGGTTGAGAGCTGTCCCAGTTTGCAGAAGTCCCATTCCAGCCCTTCCCTGAACGTGGAGGGGCCTCCGGCTGGGGGGGCCAAAGTGAAGCGGAACATCTCGGAACGCAGGACCGTCCGCAGGATCATTCCAAAGCGCAACAGGCACTTATTGTGACCGGCTCTCCTGGCCTCTTTGGGGTTGTCCTTGGATGCAGGAGGAGCGTTGGCAGAGAGCGCTTAGCTCAAGCCAGGGTGGTTAGCAGTTGCCTTGGCTGGACGCTCGGTTAGGTCAGCACACGGTGAACTCTGCGCCCAGATTTGAGCCTGGAGCCCCTTCTGGCTGTCTCCAGATTCTAGCTCTGGGTTTGCTTTTTGGAAATGCTACTCAGCTGTGCTGCTGGACTCAGCTTCCCTTCCCTTCAGAATCCTCTCTGGCTACTCAGGGCAAACTGGAAGTCTGTGTGCAATAAAAGGAATAGAAGGGTGAGGGCCCAGGACTCTTTTCTGGATGAGTGTTTTGAACCCCTCCCTCCAAGGATGGGTTCCGGCTTCTGTTACTTGCGGGCTTGCTCAAGGCGTTTCGGGCACACGCGCGCTTGATGCATTCAATGCGTGCATGCACAGTAGTAAAAAAATTGCTTCTGCACATGCAGAGAAGCAAAAAAGATGGTGATGCCTCCAGTGCCGCTGATAGAACCAATTTGGGGGCGTGGCCAGCCAAGTTACTACCTACTTGGCCGAACTAGTAGGAACCCACCTTTGCCTCCCTCCCTCCCTCTGTTAGAGGAGGGGCTGTGCGCTTGGGAGGTGCTTCCTTTTCTTGCTGAACATCTCATCCTTGGAGACATTGGGAACCCCTAGACGTGATACCTACAGGGGAAATAAGGCAACCCGATAGCTTTGGAGAAATCTGACCGGTCTGGGCCTGTCTATCTTCCTAAAAATGGCATCTCTCATCCTGCCCTGGTCTGCTGTCATCCCCCCCCCCCAAAAAAAAACCCCACCATTTACTCACAAACCCAGTGTAGTACAGACGCTGGTATGTGTTGTTATGCGAGAGATCTGGTTGCCTCAATGGGCCACCATTTATGAGCCAGCAAATGTGCTGCAGCTGCAGAAGAAGCCAACACAATCCTGGGCTGAATCAACCAAGGGACAGAATCGAGATTTATACAAGGTTGGTGAGACCACACTCGGAATCCTGCGTCCAGTTCTGGTCACCACAACATAAAAATGATGTTGAGACCCTGGGAAGTGTGCAAAGGAGCAGCGACAACAATAAAGGATCTGGAGGTTAAACTGTATGATGAATGACTGAGGGAGCTAGTATGCTTAGCCTACTGAAGAGAAGGATTAGGGAGACATAACTGTCTTCCGGTACTTTGAGGGGTGTCACAAATAAGAGAGGATTGACTCTTACTCTCTAATCTACTTCCTCTGTTTGGGTGGAGGGTGGGGGTTTGTGGTATACACCAGTGGTGGGTTGCTCTTACCGTCGCTACCGGTATGCTGATCACAGTCTGTTCGCGCGCCTGACGTGCACTGTGCACGCATGCACAATCCACCGCCCCTGCGACAACCGCTTGTTGGGGCTCGCGCAGGCACTGCACGCTATGCACAGTGTGTTTCTGGCATAAATACAGCTGTAGAGCGCAGGGAGGCGCATGGGCCAAACGAGTCCCCGTACTGGTACGCTCTCAGCTGCTCAAGGCCACTACCAGTATGGCCGGACCGGCAGCCACCCACCCACCACTGGGTGCACCATCTATGCAGCAATGTCATAATTCTTGGAATAAGGATTAAGCATTTCTTCCCAGTCTTGTCAGTATTTGTGATACAGGTCTCATTGCCTAGGTTGCTGCTGGAGGTGTTTATAATTATAAGGTGTTTATAATCACTATTTCCATCAGACAATTGCAAGCCTACTTTGCAAGGGGATTACTAAGGTGGGAAATTCCCAGGCCCCATTTAGAGATGCTAATGTTCTTAGATACGTTCGATAATAGGTGGCCAAACGTTGGCAACAGTGTGTGTGAAATGCAGTGGACTCAGATGCCTTGAAACGAGTCCCCAAGGCAGCTTCCTTCTAAACAGATCCGTGCAGCAGCCAATGATTTATAAATACTTTTATTACAGTTAGTAAATCAAATGCAAAAGTGAATAAACATCTCTTAAGAAATTTCTCAACGATCAGAGGCACTAGATCAGAAAAGGCCATAGCTGAAAGAAGCCTACGTGCCAATCAAAGGGAGTCAAGTTGATCAGAAGGGACGCCACTCTCTCTCTGCCACCCAGGGGTTCCAACTGCAGAAGTCGGGACCTCCATCTGTCCTGACCTTCAAAACCGACATCTCCAGGAACGGACACTCCCAAGAGAGAGAAATCCAAATTTAGAGAATCTGAACTGGCCACTCGTCTTCGTTTTTCTTTTAAAAGAGTGTTTCAGAAAAATCTTTATGTTGCCAGGTGAGTTCCAGTCATTCATGTCTCCATCCAGGAGGATGAAAGGAACGCAAAATGAGATCTGAGGATGAGGCTTCCTGGAAGGGAAGGAATACCCAGAGTGGCCGCATAAGGTCGGAGTCCTCCCTGGGTAGCTTTCTGCCACCTCCAGAAATTTGGCCAAACTTTTTTGGAACTAGAAAAGGCTGGTGAGCTCCGTTCCAAGGATCAGTGAAGGCACTTGCAGACTCAGAAATTTAGCATGTTGTGTGGGGTAGGAATCATCTAAGCTAGAGGTCTTCAAACTTGGCAACTTTAAGACTTGTGGACTTCAACGCGCAGAATTCTCCAGCCAGCTGAATTCTGGGAGTTGAAGTCCACAAGTCTTAAAGTTGCCAAGCTTGGCCACCCCTTATCAAAGCAGAAAGAGTCTCTGCTTCCTCTGGCTAAGTTCACACGTGCAGTTGAGGGACCCTGGCGTGGCCCCGAGGGAAAGGGCGACCCCTGGAGTCTTTTGGTCCTGGCGTGGGAAAGAGGTTATGGGGACAGACAGGGAGGCACCCTGGACCTCTTGATGGGGACTTCTGGCAAAGGGCCATTTGATTCAGTTAAGGATTTCGTCTATTCAGGGAGGGGATAATGGGGGCAAAATTAAAAAAGAACACGTGGGAATGATGAGTGGAAAAAGTCCATTGGGGGGAAAGAAACTTAAGTCGGGATGACGCCGGTGGCAAGCAGGATGATGAGAATAAGGATGATGGCGACAATGACGCAGATGATCGCAATCATCTTGATATTCTTCCACCAGTACTTCCGAGCCACTTTTTGTGAGGTTGTCTTGAAGTGTTCTGACTGTGTAGAAAAAGATGCACAACGTCACTTACCAAAGGTGGAGAGAAGCTGCCCTCCCTGAACCCGGGGAGAGGAGGAGGCTTCAGTTGCAAATATATTGGCAGGCGCCTACTTTGGCTGACCATTTTTTTTTTATAATAGCAATTTTATTAAAATTACAACTCTCCCAGTAAAAAGGTACAAACTGGAAAAATATAAAACTAGAAGGGGCAGAGAAAAAAGAATACCAACGCTTACCCGCCCTTTACACGCTTGGTGAGCATACAGAGTGGCTCCTGCATGCCCCCCAGGCCCCTGTAAGAAGGAGTTAACATCTTTAAAAAGAAAAAAATGTATTAGCCCAGGAGCCAAAGAGGGTCTGCAACACAATCAACCGTGTCCATTAAACTGCCCGTATTTATGCACGATATTATCTTGCATTACGTCTGTCTTAGTACATTGTGCAGATAAGGCCTTTTCAATGTAATATGTGAACCCACAAAATGGACTGATTCAGTCACGAAGCTTAAATATAGTGTGTAAACATAGCTGGTTTGTTCAAACAGAAACTCCATCCAGCTTTAGTTTAACAAACAGAAGGCTTAGGAGCAGTGGAGAAATTCAATTTTTTTTTACTACCGATTCTGTAGGGGTGGCTTGAACGCGGCAGGGGAAGGATACTGTAAAATCCCCATTCCCTCCCCACTCCTGGGGCCAGCCAGAGGTGGCATTTGCTGGTTCTCCAAACTACTCAAAATTTCCACTACCGGTTCTCCAGAACCTGTCAGAACCTGTTGGATTTCACCCCTGCTTAGGAATGATATGATAGTTGTCTTGCGGTATTTGAGGGGCAGTCAGAAAGATGAGGGGGGTCACCCTAAAGCCCCTGGGGGCAGGACAAAAAGCATGGATGGAAGTTTATTAAAGAAACATCCAACCTAGGAGAAATTTCCTGGCAGTGAGAACAATTAACCAGTGGAACATCTTGCATCCAGTAGTTATGAATGCTCCAACACTGGAGGCTTTCAAGAAGAAATTGGACAACCATTTGTCTGAAGTGGTATAAGGTTTCCTGCCTGAGCAGGGGGTTGGACTAGAAGACCTCCAAAGTCCCTTCCAGGCCCAGGATTCTACAAAAAGTCATGGATAAAAATTCTTTCTAGAAAGCCAAGGTCATCCTTTGTCTTTGCACCTCTGCACCTAACTGGAACTGGATGGGTGGAACTGCCAGCAGGGCAGTGGAAGATTGGACCATGCAATGGACTTGTGGGTGTGGGGGCAAGTTAATACAATACAATTGCAGAGTTAGAAGGGACCTTGGAGGTCTTCTAGTCCAACCCCCTGCTCAGGCAGGAAACCTTATACCACTTCAGACA